TAAAGAGGAGAAAGAGGAAGCGTATCTGATAGACAGGTCTGCGTTGTCTCCATCTTATCCAAAGGCAGCAATGCTGCAGAAAAGGCTCTTCTGATGTGTCAAAGAGACCGAGCACTCCACTTTACAGCGTGTTCCTCTAGGGCAGAGCTAAGATGAGCTTTCAGATGAGGCTTATGCTGCCTTCTGCAGTTGCTTAGATCTCTGCCTAGCCACAGAGATCTCCCGTCTCTGGTTTTATTTTGGTGGTTTGTTTTTAAAGAACCCTGGGAGCTAGATTTGATCTCCAGTAGTCTGTCTTGGATCAGCACTGTGCACTGTTAAAATCTGTGACGTTTTTGTAGCAAATGTACCTTACTTGGCTGTTTTACAGTGCAAGGAGATGTCAATTTAGGGCTTCCTTTACATGTCCGTAGGATATAACAGTATCTTCTGGGCAGTAGTGTTTTTCTGGTATGAAACCACTCCCATAAATGGAAGATTCAGTCACTCGTGAATCAGTGTTTTCCTTACCCACAAATTGGGTCTCTGTGTCTTTCTCTTCGATCCCTACAGCAAGCCATGAGACATGGTTCCTACGCTTTGCTTCTAAGCCGTGGAATCCAGTGAGGAGATCTGTTCCTAGCAGGTGTTGAGAGCATATGTTCTCCTGATATAATCACTAGTCCTTGCGCGACTTAGGGTAGACATCTCTGCTTGGCATGTCATAAGTCTGACCTCAGCGTGGAGGGGTAGTGGCTTGCATTGCTGCAGGAGCTCTTAAGCTAAGAGGCTGCTCTGAGCTCAGAAGTGATGCCTGGACTCTTGAGGAGAGGTGAGATGGCTCGTATCCTTGTCAGCCTGGGAGATGGGACAGATAATAGCATTTTTGCCATCCCCAGAAGCTCTCCTTTGTTCCGATCGTGTTGGCCAAAAGAAACATCATGGGAGAACTAAAACCAAGGAGTGAGGTTTCAGGAAAACAGCAGTTAAAGCTAGAAGTTGGGTGTTTTTTTTTGTCTGGACTGCAGCAAACACATGATCTGCATTAAAATTGAGATTGTATCAATCAAATTGGGTCTCACAGCTAACAGCCTTATTTCTCTCTTTCTCTCTCTTTCTCTCTTCCCCCCACTGTCTCCATTACGACAGCTATCCAGTAGATAACCAAAGAGGTTCTGGCTCTGGAGGGACCAAAAGATCCAGCCTGGTTAGCCCGAGTCACCCGCCACCAGCTCCTCCGATCGGATCTCCCTCTGGGGCCAGACCAGGCTTTGCTCCCCCTCCAGCACCACCTCCACCACC